GCCTTGCCAGATCTGGCGAGGGCTCGGCGCTGCCGGCTTATGCGCCAGAGGTTGAAGATGAAGGAAAAAAATAAATAAATAAATAAATTTGAAAAATAAAAAATAATATTAAAATTTTAGTTTGGGGTAAAATTGTCACATGTGTACCAGTTTGAGGTTTTTGGTGCTCAAAAAAATAATTCGAGGTAAAATTGTCATAGGTGTACCAGTTTGGGGTTTTTCATGGTATTAACTCAATGAATAATGTATTCGTTTTGTAACACCCCGAGTCTACACTGTGTAATATTGTCCGCTTTGGGCCTACTGACCCTCACGGCCTTGTTCTCAGCACAGTGGAAGCTTGTGTGAAACGTATTTTAAAGCCGTTAAGGTCAGTATACCAAAGCGGATAATATTACATAGTATAGACCCGGGGCATTACACGTTTCACTTCATCTTCGTCAAATACCAGTACCGTTGGTCTATATATATGCATAAGCATATAGCCCTCCAGTTTTTCTTTAGAGTTGACATTTGTGCCTACACTCTCACATATGGCTGAGCTAATAGGAACGGAATCAGATGGGATAGAGTTGAATAGAATCGAATTATCAGAGCTAGGAAGCAGCCTCGGATCATCACTTCTGTAACGACCCGGTCCGACGAGGGCGGGGAGTGATCGCCGGGGCCAGAGGGCCTGGACAAGGAGCGACTCCTGGCAGGCTTTTAGAATGGCGAAGGGAGCAGGAATGAACCGAACTGTGCACCAAACAGGGAGAGAGCGATCCTGATATATATATATATATGTGTGTGTGTGTGTGTGTGTGTGTGTGTGTGTGTGTGTGTGTGAAAACTGGAATTAACTCTTGGAGTTGCCTTTTGACGTAACGGTAATCTTTGCTTTGAAACTCCAAAGTTAAGCGAGCCCAGGCCAGAGCACTACTAGGATGGGTGACCTCTTGGGAAAGTGCCTGCCTGTACGCCAAAGGATAAAATCGTGAGGCTCGGTATGGGACGGATCAAAGCGGATAATACCTCGAGTGAGTTAAATCCAGGGTGTCACAATATGATATCAGAGTGGGACCCCCTCCGGTACGTGTATGTTTCGGGGACGAACCGTGCAGAAGCTGGTGGGCCTGTAACGACTCGGTCTGACGAGGGCGGGGAGTGATTGCCGAGACCAGAGGGCCTGGACAAGGAGCGGCTCCTGGCAGGTTTCTAGGATGGCGAAGGGGGCAGGAATGAACCGAACTATGCACCGAACAAGGGGAAAGCGATCCTGAGATATATATATGTGAAAACTAGAATTAACTCACGGAGGCGCCTTTTGACGTAACGGCAAGCTTTGCTTTGGAACTCCAAAGTTAAGCGAGCCCAGGCCAGAGCACTACTAGGATAGGTGACCTCCTGGCAAAGTGTCTACCTGTACGCCAAAGGATAAAACCGTGAGACTCGGTATGGGACGGACCAAAGCGGATAATATCTCAAGTGAGTTAAATCCAGGGTGTCACAACTTCGGCTTCACGCTTCAAGTATTGGGAGCGCTTCGGCTTTGAGCGCAACAAAAGATGATGTTAACGATGAATATTATCTACAATGGCCTGCCATTGAGTTACCAACTTTGGAGCGGTTGAGGTCATCACTGTTTGATACGGAGAATGACGGAAGGGCAGTTGATGATAAAGGCAAGAAGGTGGTTGACGTCACCAAGCTTGGTGCATTGGAACGTCATTTTTTCGTAGACAAGCTCATCAGGCATATCGAGAATGACAACCTTAATTTGTTGCGAAAGATTAGAGACAGAACAGAAAGGTAAGCCTTTTCTTCTCCCCTTAATAATGGGAGTTGCAAATATAATCAGAAAGTCTAATGGCTAAAGAGTTACCTAAAATACGACAAACCTGTGCGAGCATAAGAGATTTGTGCAGAGCTAAACAGCGTGAGACCCCAAAGTTCATTAACAAACGAAAAAAAGAGAAACACTTCTGTTCATAAAATGCGTTACAATATACATGCTTGCATTTCATCTTGGTCAGAGGCGACATTGTGCCTGATCCATGTTGGCTAACTTATTTGGATGAGGATTTGCTTTCTTCTGGTTTCTATTTCCTCTTCTCTTCCTTAAACTCACCACGCGGATTTTATTTTTCATGTAGTAAGGAAAAAATTGCTGTCGAACTGCTTTCTACAGGGTTGGTGTCAAATTGCCCACCATAGAAGTCAGATATCTGAATTTATGTATTGAAGCAGACTGTGATATAGTTCAAGGAAAGCCCCTGCCCACTCTCTGGAATTCTCTAAAAAGCATGCTTCCTGTAAGTACCTTTCATGTGAAGTAGATTGTAGGAATTCTTGCTAAAACCCTTTTGATTTCTTGCTATCCTCCGTTAATGAAAAGTAGGACTCCAATAAAATGTAAGCCACTCTCGAACGTGAAAGTCTATACCATCAGCACATATATTTGCAAGTTCTTAACTCCTGTCCTCTCGCTTGTAGTCTTTCTTTGGCTACAAATGCGTGTACTTTATTCAAGTATAAAATGAGGCTAAGAAGGTATTAGTCCTCGAAGAGGTAAAAGAAGTGTGGTTGATCATTTCTCATAAGTTTTTTCATCAATACTAGTGCTAATTAGAGGCTATATGTAGGTAAGTGCGGCAAAACCATGTATATCTCCACGTTCTCATTTACCAACACTGTTTTTTTGCTCCCACACCCATTCTTTCATTCCCGATGCTGTAACACTCATCATGTAATATGCTTTATTCTGTACGGAGACTCAACTACACCTAACCATTCTGTGTGCTGCAGAAAAATTTCAACAGGCATCACGTCAAATTACCTTAAACGGCTGCTGCTTCCTACCAATTAACTAATTCAAGTAAACTGTAACTTTTATACAGGCTATTCCTGCAATGCCAGGTTCAAAGTTACGTAAGGCCAAAATCAGCATTGTTAAGGGTGTCAGTGGAATTATAAAGCCTGGAAGGTTTGTCTACAGTTTCATCTCTTCCAATCTCTCTGGATGATCTCTGGAAAATCGAGCCTTACCCTTCTACCTTTAGGCATTAGTGTCTTCAACTATTTCATTCACTTCTAGCTACGGTTGTTTGTATCACCTACACACAATTTAATGTCCGGACTAGGTACTATGCAGTTGTTTCTACCTTTAGTTTTTATGATGAATGATCCAAACGTGACCAAAACCTGACTAGCCACTTATTAGCTAGCAATGAAATTTGTGAGCGGCCTGATTCTTTATATATGAGAGCAGGGTCAATCTTTGGCGATTTACACCGTACTTGCCCACTGTGAATAGCTTTATGAAGGTCGAGAAGCTTGATAGAAACTGTAGTCATAATTATAACCTACTTTTTAATGGGATTGGTTATTGTCCTAACAGTTCTATGATAGAGAGAATCACCAGCTTAATGATATGAAAGTACATGATATTCATTGTGCCTTTTCTGGCCACAGAATGACTCTACTGCTTGGACCTCCTGGATGTGGGAAAACTTCCTTTCTAAAGGCTCTTTCAGGGATTCTAAGCAAATCGCTCGAGGTTTATGCTTGCTCTATGCTCAAGAAAGTCTATGTCAAACTGTACTAGGCTTAACAGCAATACCAACATACAACATGTATGGCTTACAGATGATGAATTAACCAAGACAGAATGAAGCTCAAGAGAACATGTGCTCATCCAAATTCCTCTTTATATGAACAATTAACATCAGTGTCCTTGCAGATGTGGACTCGGCAAGTTTTTATTAAGTAAATATTGAAGCACATTGTGCCATTCTATTTCACGAAAGTGCTTGAAGGGTGCTGAGAAGTGAGAGATAATATGATGTGCACAGATCTTCTTTGCATTTAATAGCTAATTGGGACAGAACTAATTTGTAGTCATTGGTTAGCTAAAGGCACAGAATTTGACGTTGAAACTAAGCTTATTAATTACAGTCAAAACATCGGTGAGCTCTTATTAATCTGTCTTTGATATTCTATGCTGTTCCCTCTATTTTCTGATAGCTCACTGGAGAAATTTCATATAATGGCCACAAGCTTGACGAGTTCATCCCCCAGAAAACGTCTGCTTACATAAGCCAATATGATCAAGAAATTAATTTTGCATAAACTGACTAACCCAATGTAATGGCTAATTTATTTCCGCCATTCCTATCGAATCTTAATACCCAAAACATTAACGCTTCCCGACACTATCCTTAGCTTATTTATTATTTATTTTTAGTTTCTACACCAAAATTCTCACGACTCCACCAAAAATACTAATTTTAGTTGAATTCCCCTATTGTAATTTGCGATTGATACACTTTGAGTCCTTGCCATGTCTACTATCTATTATCTAGTGTCCTCCTAATGGTAAAGCAGAATAAAATTATAATCTTGGTTGCTCAGGGCGAAACAGTTTGCGTGGGCGTAGTTTTTATTTTTAAATAACCACTTAAAGTCTCAAATATATATTGCCACTTCAAGTTGTTACCCGCATTTAATCAATTATATATATATTGGTCGAAATTAATCAATTATATTTCAGTCGGTTCACTTTTTTTTCTTTTTTCTTTTTTTAAATTCTCTTTCTTCCTTCTTCTTCTTGTATTTTTTTCACTTTCCTTTTCACTTTTGGGGAGTCGAATCAGAGAATTTTGAAACAAGAAAGATTGAACCGGTCAGATATTAGAAAGATTCTAATCCAAATATGGAAAGCGTTCGAGACTTAAGGAATCGTAATTTAAAGGGTTAGAGATTCAGTTTACTTTTGAATTATGATTTTATTTCATGATTCACAATGGGTTACGATTTTCGGTCAGATAAGATACTCATAAGTTCCCTATCTTTCCTAAATTTGGAGACTTTACAGCCTGCACCTACTCCATCCGTCGTAGTTAAAAGAAGAAAGAAATCCCAATCCACCAGGATGGAAGATATTTTCCACTTTCGTTACGAGCATCGGAATTACATTGGCAGCCCACCTATAAAAATCAATTCACCATAACTTGAGAAGAAGAAGAAGAAGAAAGAAGAAGAAGAAGAATCAATGATGGTAACTCAAGAGGAGGGGGAGAATGTTGCACCGCCGCTTGAATATGTAAAGGTGATCTTCTTGTTCTTCTTTCTTTAATCAATATTGAAGAATAAACGGTTGCGATGCACAATGAAACTGAGATTGCGTTTGTTTTTTCCTCATCAATTTTGGCGAACTAGGATTGGTTGAGGATGCACTAACCATGAAATACTCATCGATTATCTCTCAACTTTGTTGTTTCAGCCAAAGCCATTACCAATGGAATTCTGGGTATCTAATTTCACACTCCACGAGCTGGTAGAAATCAGTCGCCTCGCGGATCCAACGCTTCAAAAAGTCCCCCACCACGTAAAATTTCTCCGCTTCCTATCATTGTCATTGTCATGTCTTCCTCCTTAAAACTACTTTTAGTTTCATTAATTATGCAATTCTTTAATGCCTTATGTCGAGGCTGTTTAAGCCATCCCCTCTTTGATCGTAGCCATTTATTTACTTCTATCTACACTGAACTGAATTCATTCAACTCTTAGCCAAAATAATTACGAGCGGAAACATATTTCAATTAGAATTTTGAGGCGATAGCTAAAGTCAAAGATGCAATTGCAGATTCTACACGGATTTTTGGAGCGAATGTATAAAAAAGTTAAAGAACAGATGGAAAAGGGAACAACTGATGAGGACTATTTGGCAAAGAAGGGCGAAGAACCGGTCGTTTGTGCTATCTGCTCGGTTCGTGCCGCTCATTCTAAGTCCAATTAGTTCGATTCACTACCTACTGCCTATTCTTATTCTTGTATATCACTTACTTTGTAGGATGAGTGCAAGCATACAGAAGAAAGGGCCAATTTCGATTGTGGACACACATATCATGCCAATTGCATTCTGCCAATCTTGAGGACTAAGGTCAACTCCTGCCTCATTTGTGGACAGGAATTGCACTGCTATTTTCCCGTCGGGGAAGGACAATCAATTGTCTGGTGAGACAATTGCCTATGTTTTCTTAACAAACATTTTAGTCGGATTACTTCGGAAATTAGTTCCCATTGTAGCATCCTTATACAAAAGGAAGCATTCTATCATATGAATTATATCAATTATCTATACCGGTACAATGTTGTTATTATCTATTCATACAAAGTCACGGCCCCGCATCCAATCGTTCTTGCATGCAATGAAAATAGACACATCTTATTATCCTTTTATCACAGCAAATCAAAAGGAGACAATCTGAGTAGCTATAACACGGGATAATAGGGAAGTCACGAAAGTGCATTTAGGTCCTAAAACTTTCAAAATGTGCAATCTAAGTTCTAAAACTTTGAAAAAGTGCAATCAATAAAAGATCTTGATTTGACTAATTTGACAAATTTTAGGACTTGATTACACTTTCTAAGTTTTAACTTTTGTAACATGTTTTAAGACTGCAAACTAGTGAATTGTACAATATTAATGCGAATACAAATTTCTTTCTAAGAAGATTGTATATACTTCTCGAAGAACAAAACATATTCAATATTGCTACGGAGGAGTAGAGGGGGATCCTCTGGCTATCCATTTATATTCACGTTTGAACGAATGGAACGGGTGGAATGCCTGCAATCCTTGATGTGCGCATTCAAGCGATTAGGAGATTATGCAAATCAATGATACAATATAACAATCAGCACAGCCAGGTTCTCAATTACTATCAGATTTGTAATTCTCAAAAATATATTATCCGGGGCAATAGAATCTCTCGATCGGACTTATAAATATTTGATATAAAGTTTCCGAATGATGAAGAACAACATCCAGATTTTTAAACATGACCCGGCATAGCCAGATAAATCACGAAAAGAATTTATGAAACAAATAAGTCGATCATTTCAAAGAAGCCAAATCTGATCATCGTGACATCCAAATTCCAAGCCAAATCCTTTCACACACTTCTTTTATTTTTTGGGTTATTGTCACGAAAAATCTCAAACTGGGACACCTGTGATAAATTTACCAAAAACTAATTTTTTGACTACAAAAAACCCCAAATGGTATATCTTTGACAATTTTACCCTCCGTTAGTTTCTGTTAAATTTTACTGTCAAATTTTTGAGTTTGATGACATATGGCAGTTGACAGGTATACCAGTTTGGAATTTTGCCCTCCATTTGTCACAGATATACCAGTTTGTGATTTTTCGTGATATTAATTCAATTTAACTGATGATAAATTTGTCACAAACGTACAAGTTTAAGATTTTTTGTGGTCAAAAAATTAGTTTTGAGTAAATTTGTCACATGTGTACCAATCTAGGGTTTTTGGTGGTAAAAAAATTTGTTTGGGATAAATTTGTTATGGGTATACCAGTTTGGGGTTTTTTGTGGTATTAACGTTTTTTTTTTTTGTCGAAAGCATCACACACTTCAATGGACGTAAAATTACAAACTTTTTCCCAATTGGACCAATCCCTATTAGGTTACTAGTAGTAATATAAAAAGCCTTATCGCTCATACTATGTGCTCCAAGGATCAAGTAGATCGGACAAATCGCAAAATATTATAAGAAACAATGTTGGTTCCTATTGCCTCAGAGATAATTACAAGATAAAATCAAACCTCAACAAAGTGCAACAAAACAACCTGCAAGTATCGATCATGCCTCATGCTATTAATATTGCACACGGAGAGGCATATTCGTGCGAAAGAACGAAAAGTAACCGATCAATAGTCAACTAGAAAAAATATATATGCATGGATGGCATACTAAAGTGGCAGATTCTCTATTTCCTTATGCAAAAAAGGCTCTTCAATTCAAAAAACAATAGAAACCATAAAAAGCAACACAAGAAGTATTATAAGTAGTAGACCACATCACACATTTCACTCGGATATAAGGTTTTAGACTTCTTCCCAACTCAACCGATCCCTATTAGGTTACAAGTAGTTCTATAAAAGCTGAATTGCCCTTAATATGATGCTTCAAACATCAAGTAAATCAGACAAACCGCAAACTGTCATCGAAAACGATGTAGCTTCCTACTGCCTCAAAGGTAATTACATCACACACTTCACTCGACAAAAAGTTATAAACTTTTTACCAACTCGACCAATCCCTATTAGGTTACTAGAATTAGTACAAAAACCTTATCACCCCTATGTGCCTCAGGGATCAAGTAGATTAGACGAACCGCAAAATGTCATAAAAAACAATGCTGCTTTCTAAAGCCTAAGAGGTAATTACAAGATGAAATCGAAGCTCAACAAAATAGAAGATATACGAAACCTCAAAATAGCCTTCAAGTATGGATGATGCCTCATGATAATCATATTGCACATGGAGAGGCATATTCGTGTGAAAGAGCGAAAAGCAACCGATCAATAGTCAATAGAAAAAAAAAATGTAGATATGGACGGCAAATAGCAATGGAAACCGTAAAAAGTAACATAAGCAATATAAAAACAGTACCGGACCAAATCACACAGTCCATGGTAACATTTTGCAGGCTTTTCTTTGAATTGCTTTCGTACTTGTAAAAATTGCACCCAAAAGCATTTGTGGGTCTTTAGAACTACCTTCATAGAGCCCCATTTTAACTTCTACCCTGCGTGCGATTTGAGTGGATTATATGTGAAAATTTGAAACTTAGGACACTGGATAAATGAAGATAGATGCCTTCTACTCCTTATAAGTATTGTTTTTTGCTTCATTCTTAATAAAGCGCGCTACAATTTAGACGCCGCTTTATTAAATAGAGATGTTTTTCCATCAAATATTAGGAGAATTGATTATGTAACTCCTATGATCATAATTATTCCTTACCATGATTTATAATATTCATAAACTTTCTAAATGCTTTTGAATGTGTGTGTTTTTTAAAGTAAATTTAGTTAATATGTTGTGCTATGGAGTATGACTTTACTTTTTACTTTATTTTGAAGTTATGTTTTGATTTATAATAAATCCATAACTCACTTGTATGATTTCATTTATTAAATACGATACTTGTCCTGTCTCGATGCTCCCATTCTTCATGCAATAGCTCTTGTTTGCCTATACTTGTCTTTGCGGTTCTTTTCAGTCTCCTTTCTCGATTTTCGGTAAAATTGCCAACTTTGTGTGGAAAAATTAACGGCCTTTTGAGGGATTTGATGATGGGTCAAATTAAAATCTCGGGAATTCGAAGTCCCATTGTCAAGGGGTTGGAAGCAGAGAAGGTGAATATCCTTGAAAGTGACTGTAGATCTATCACTTGGAAACTGTGTCACGCGAAGATATTTTCGTTTTTTTGGCTGCAAAGATATGGTGATGGATATCATCAGAAGGGAGAAGGGGGCAGGAATCTTTCCAGATCCTGATATAGATACTTACGCGAAGGTACCTTTAGTGACATTCTCCAACTTTCTTCTCTCTACGTGCAATTTGAGTCTCCTGTTTTGTCTCTGGAAAAAAAGCCAATTTCAATGTCAGTATTGAATCCTTCCTAGAAGCTGAGAAGTTGCAAATTATAGTTTGGTTGTTCTATTGGAAGACAAGTTTGTGACTTTCGCACCATATCATATAAAAGGGGATATAAACGGATTTCCCCGCACGACAAGTTGTAGTTTGTAACTGTTGAGCATTGGGTAACAGAGGGTTGCTGCCTAGTTAAGGAAGCAATCTTTGATCACCGGGATGGCCATGATGTAACATCGGTACTAATTGGTTCTTAGCCTGGTTACTGGAAGTTCCACTTTGTTTGAGTGTGGTAAAACCAGGTGGTTAATAGTTGCAGACTCTATTGAAACACGAATCATTAAAATCACGACATTGGCTACCTGGTTAAGGAATGGAATGTTTGGGCTAATAGTTCCACTTCTAGAACTCGTGTCGGACAATAATCATGCCTTATGTGGCACCGACACGTTAAAATGGCCAATGTGTCGGACACGTCAACACGAGTGGACACGCTTCCGACACGCGATCAACACGGTGTCAGATTTCCGACACGAAATCAACTCTCCGGACACGCCTCCGACACGCGAGTCCGGCGTGTCCGAAGAGTAAATTTGTAAAAAAATAAAAACAGAGAACAATAAATGGCGTCGACCTCCAAATTAGGGCTAAAACACGATTACCTCTTTACTTCTCTGTTCGACCGACGAACTCCCGTCCTCCGCGCCGCTCGCCGCTCCCTCTCCCGCTCCCGCTCCCGCTAGCCGGTCGTGCTCGCGGCTTGCGCTCGCCGCTCGCCGCTCGTGCTCGTGCTCGCCGCTCGCGCTCGCTGCTCGCCGCTCGCCGCTCTCTCTCCCGCTCGCGCTCGCCGCTCGCTGCAGGTACACCTCTCTGTTTCGAAAGAAATTGTGGTGGCTGGGAACTGGGAAGAAGGGAGAAGTCGGGGAAGGGAGCGTGTATGGGTGGGTTGGGGGAAAAGGAAAAAGTGGTGGGGTAGGTCAGATGGGTGGGCTGCGTCTTTTTTTCTAATGGGGAGGTCAGATGGATGGGGAAAAGAAATTGTGGTGAGCTGCGTCTTTTTTTCTTATTAAGAGCTGTGGTAGGTCATTTTATAATTGTGGTGGCCTGATTATTATTAGATATGTCATTCTATAATTCTGGTAGGTCATTCTATATTTGTTGATGATGCCCTTGCCCTTACTTACTGCTTATTGATTTGGGTGAATCTAATATATAGATATTGGTATTGTGATGGTATTTTTTGTAGAATGACCTCAAGCAAGGGTAGCACTTCTTGTACACAAGCGCTTACATCTACCGATGAAGATTCGAATAAACCACTATGGAGGTATGTCACTAAGCTAGCTGCTCGTAGTGATGCGGGAGGCAATTTGTCTTGGAAATGCAACTTTTGCGAAAAAGATTTTACGAGTTCATATACGAGAGTGAGGGCTCATTTGTTGATGATCAGTGGAAAAGGAATTGGAAAATGTGGAAAAGTAACAAGAAATGATCTTTTGGAGATGGAAAGATTAGAGGAAGAGGTCAATACTAAATTAGCGAGTCTTGCGCCTAAAAATGTACATTTGCCCCCTTCTAGTGTTTCAATTAGTGGTGGTGGTGGTGGATCTATTAGTGGGGTGGATTTATACTCTAGAAAAAGGAAGATTGGAAGTGGGAGTGAAGGATCACTTGAGCATGCATTCAACATGGGTCAACGGGAACATTTAGATTATGAGATTGCTAGGATGTTTTATTCGGGAGGCTTGCCGTTTAACCTAGCAAAGAACCCTTACTTTATATCCGCTTTTACTTATGCCGCTAATCATAATCTTGCGGGGTATGTACCACCGAAATACAATTTGTTGAGGACCACTTTGTTGCAAAAGGAGAAGGCAAATATTGATGGGTTGTGTGCAACTATTAGAAACATGTGGAAGGAGAAGGGTGTAAGTATTGTGAGTGATGGATGGAGTGACTCACATAGGAGATCACTTATTAATTTTATGGCGGTGTCGGATGGAGAACCTATGTTTATAAAGTCGGTTGATTGTTCGGGAGAAACAAAGGATATGCATTTCATTTTTAACTTATTCAAAGAAGTGATCAATGAAATTGGGCATGAGAAAGTGGTCCAAGTGATCACGGATAATGCTTCAAATTGTAAGGGCGCGGGACAACTCATTGAGCAAGAATTTCCATCCATTATTTGGACGCCTTGTGTGGTGCACACTCTTAATCTTGCTTTGAAGAACATTTGTGACCCAAAGAATACGGAGACCAATCATGAAGTTTATTTGGAATGTAGTTGGATTTCCGAGATTGTTTCGGAAGTTATGCAAATCAAACATTTCATCATGAACCATTCCATGAGGTTAGCAATATACAATGAGTTTGTTAACTTGAAGTTGCTTTCCATAGCGGATACACGTTTTGCTTCAATGATTGTGATGCTTAGGAGGTTTAAGTTAATCAAAAGTGGTCTTCAAAGCATGGTTATTTGTGACAAATGGAATATCTATCGAGATGATAATCAAGGGAGGGCTAAGTTTGTCAAGGAGAAGGTGTTGGATGATTTTTGGTGGAATTTAATTGATTATATACTTTCCTTCACGGCTCCTATTTATGATATGCTTAGAATTTGTGACACCGACAAGCCTTGTCTTCACTTAGTTTATGACATGTGGGATTCAATGATTGAAAAAGTGAAGAGAGCTATATATGAACATGAAGTGAAAAGGCTAAATGAGCAGTCTACATTTTATGAGGCAGTTCATACAATTCTTATGGATCGTTGGACTAGAAACAACACTCCACTTCATTGCTTGGCACATGCCTTGAATCCTAGGTAAGTTCTAAAATTGTATGAGATTATTACTTTATTAGTTGTTCTTTATTTGACATGATAATATAATACTCCTTTTACTTATTATGGTTTTCTATTTTTATTTTATTAAATAAGGTACTATAGTTATCAATGGCTCAACGAAGATTCTTCTCGAGTTTCTCCATACAAGGATAACGAGATCATCCAAGAAACAAAAAAATGCTTTAGGAAATACTTTCCTAACTTGGAGGAGCGCACCAAGGTGAATTTGGAGTACGCAGATTTTGCGTACACAAATGGGGAGTTTAAAGAATTTGATTCCGTTCACAGTCGGTATTCTATGGATCCTAAGGCTTGGTGGGTTATTCATGGTGCAAGTGCACCTATGCTTCAAAGCTTAGCCTTAAAGCTTCTTGCACAACCTTCTTCTTCATCATGTGCCGAGAGGAATTGGAGTACTTACTCCTTTGTGCACTCGATGAGGAGAAATAGAATGACTCCAAAACGTGCGGAAGATTTGGTTTTCATTCATAGCAACCTACGTCTTCTATCAAGAAAAAGCCCACAATATGCACAAGGAGAGACCAAGATGTGGGATATTGGTGGAGATGCATTTGACACGTTTGAAGATGTGGGAGTGCTTGAAGTTGCGAATCTTTCACTTGATGAGCCGGAGATGGAATGTGATGTTTTTTCAGAAGAAGTGTAATGTAGATGCATGACTTGGTATATTTGATGGTGAAATGTGGATGGTTTTTTGTTTTTTGACTTATTGTTAAATGTTGAATTTAATGGGACAAACATTTTTAGATAGTGTTATGTATTGGAATATGAGAACATGAATTTTGAGGAGAAGTTTGCATATCGCATATACTCTGAATCCCTAATTGAATTTGTAAATGTGCTTCTTTCGATGGATGAGTTTACGGAACCTAAACTAGTCAAGTTCATCTTTTTATTGGAACTTAATGGTTTTATGGGTTATAATAAACCAATTGTTTTTTGTCATTATGGTATATTTAATTATTAAAAATATATATTTAATATACGTGTCCCAACGTGTCGGAAAATGGTATTTTTTGAGAATTGACGTATCGCGTGTCGTGTCGTGTCGCGTGTTGCGTGTCGGTGTCGGTGCAACATAGGCCTTCTTTACCAGGCAATTGCACTCAAAGGACTTAAAAGTACCCTTCACACAGACTATATTTTAAAAGTAAGTTCTTTTGACTGAGTTGACAGTTAATTAGTTTGTTGTACCTCAAATGTTCAACAGAAACTTCTATTTCTATCTCTTCTTCACAGATCCTAGGGCTGGATATCTGTACTGACACATTGGTGGGAGATCCCATGAGAAGAGGCATATCAGAGGGTCAAAAGAAGAGATTGACTACAGGTAATAGAAAGACAATGCTGGCAGTTGCAGCAAATCTCAAAGAATAAACTTCCATTTGATTGGAGAAACGATGTTTCACTGTCATTTCAGAGCTTGACTACTTGAAATCCCAAAATCTTATCTGACAAGTCAACTTTCTGGTAAAATTGTATAGCGGAGATGATTGTTGGCCCAAATAAAGCTCTATTAATGGACGAAATTACAAATGGCTTGGACAGTTCAACGGCCTTTCAGATTGTTTCTTGTCTTCAGCAACCAGCACTTTTAACAGATGCCACTATACTGGTTTCGCTTCTTCAGCCTGCGCCAGAAACATATGATCTTTTTGATGACCTTATTCTGATGGTTGAAGGGAAAATTGTGTACCAAGGCCCTCGTGACCAAGCTCTGAAGTTTTTTGAGGATTGTTGATTCAGGTGTCCTGAAAGAAAAGGGGTTTCCGATTTCCTCCAAGAGGTAGTAAAAACTAAACAGATTGTGCACTACAAGTTAGCTTCTTTTGTTGACCTTTTGTTATGTTGCCTGCTGACATGCAGCTTATGTCTAGAAAAGACCAAGCACAATATTGGCAGCATCCTGAGCTACCATACAGTTACATATCGGTTGATATGTTCTGTAAAAAGTTCAAAGAATCTTTTTGTGGGATGAAGCTAGATCAGGAGCTTTCAGACATATTTGATAGGTCCAAAAACCACAAAAATGCTCTTTCTTTAAACGTGTACTCTCTGTCCAAATGGGAATTTCTTAGAGCATGCACGGCGAGGGAACTTCTTCTTGTGAGCAGAAATTCTTTTATCTATGTTTTCAATTCAGTACAGGTCAGAATAAGCTCTCATACATCTACAGAAGCTATTATATAGCTCTTTCAATATTCATGCCAATTATAATCTAGTTTCTAATCTATCTCCCTGATTCCATGTGTATAAAGGAACTTTAGAAGTTAATTAATGTTGTTTCATCATGCAGCTCATTTTCATTGCGTTTATTACTATGACTGTATTCTTGCGGACGCAGATGGGAATAGATGCATTTCATGACAACTACTATATGGGCACTCTGTTTTACGTGCTAGTTATCCTCCTCACCAATGGATACCCGGAATTGGCAATGACCGTTTCAAGGCTCGCAGCCTTCTATAAACAAAAGGAGCTGTACTTTTACCCTGCTTGGGCTTATGCAATTCCACCATTTATACTGAAACTTCCTCTTTCACTGCTGGAATCTGTGGTTTGGACATCTCTTACATATTATGTGATAGGATACAGTCCTGAGGTAGGCAGGTAAGTTCTAACATGAGAGTTCTTCATTTTATGACCTTTAATAACCTTTTTCAATATCATCCATAAATTATACTACCATTTCACTCATTAGCCATGACTTCTTTTGTTATCTGCTTATTTATGCGGGTTCTTCCACCAATTAATACTTCTTTTCTCTTTGCACTTGTCCTCAGTATCCATGTTCCGTTTTCTGGCCTCAATCTTTCAAACTGTGGTTGCTTCTACCGCAGCTGGTAGTGTGGCGTTTCTAATTTTGATGCTATTTAGCGGTTTCATCATCCCAAAACGTAAGGATGTTAGAATCTCTATTCCCTTTGATTTTGGATAAATAAGCGAGGCTTAAAATTCCCTTTGTCTGCTGCAGCCTCTATGCCTGCTTGGTTGAAGTGGGGTTTCTGGGTCTCTCCACTAACATATGGAGAAATCGGACTTTCTGTCAATGAATTTCATGCTCCACGATGGCAAAAGGTGAGAGCCTTGTAGAAGTGACAAGAAGTATTTGGCTCCTGTAAGCGGTGAATACAAGAATTCACTTTAGTTGCAGAATCACTCAACCTATTTATTTCTAGAAAAGTATTTTGACATGCTAGTGCTATTGGTTAGCTAAACCAGCTTGGCTAGTAGATATTATTTTGTTTGTGGTGCTCTGAGTATGATGACAAGATATGAGACGAGCTGTTTATAAATCAGAGGGCCTCAGTTCACATATAGATGTTGACAATCTTTAAATCCTATGATCTCATTCTTGTAATTTCTCTGTGTTGACTTCTTGCCTTAAATCAGAGTCTCATTGATGATCATTATCTCATCCAGTACTAAACTCTGATACAACGCAATTACCGGAGCAATGATCATATCCTATGATCTCATTCTTGTAATTTGGGTACTCGTATTCTTTTGGGAACAAAAAATCCTTTCCTTATGACGTAGTGGGTACAACTTTGTAATCCAAAGGCAGAACTAACTTCCTCTGCTTTTCTCAATGCATTTTAAATTGTTTTAGCTTACATAACCCATAGATTTAACCAACTTCATCTTTTGATGCAATCGGACTTGTTCTTGCTTTAAATGCATATTCACGGATATTGTCATCAAACACTACAATAGGGCATGCAACCCTTGAAAGCCGAGGACTAAACTTTGATGGGTATCTCTTTTGGATATCAGTTGATGCCTTATTGGGGTTCACCTTACTGTTCAACATCGGGGTCACCTTGGCCTTAAGTTTCTTGAAGTGTAAGTTTGTAATTTCTGCATCTGGGCTTCACTTTGTGGCGCATTAGTGCCAAGGATGTTCCTAAATCACTTTAAAACTTGCAGCTCGGGGATCATCGCGTGCTATTATTTCACGTGAAAAATACTTGCATAGACAAGATTCTGATGACAGCATAAAGCATGGAGAGCCAAAGACAGTTTCAGCTGAACCTATGCAGACAAAAAATGGTCGAGTCCTAAATTCTTCCTTGGCCCATTGTAGTCCCCCAATAATTAGCTTGGATGTTCCTTTAATTATTGTTAAACTGGCTTCTTTTCTGCGTGAACAGGCAGGATGGTTTTACCTTTCGCAGCATTGACGCTCGTGTTTAAAGATGTGCAATACTACATACACTCCTGTGGTAACCGTTAGAACATTTCTTTTATCTTGAAGTTGCAAGATTGAGCCTTTCAGATCCATTAAATGGTGTTGTCTCTTCTCACTACATTCTTCCTTGGGATTTTCAGGAAATGAGAAAACGAGGAGTCACACGGGAAAGACTGCAACTTCTCTCTAATATCACTGGTGCATTCAGACCTGGTGTTCTTACCGCATTGATGGGTGTGCGCGGAGCTGGGAAAACTACCCTTATGGATGTCCTTTGTGGGAGAAAAACTACCGGCTATATTGAAGGAGAAATAAAAGTTGGTGGTTATCCCAAGGTTCAAGAAACATTTGCAAGAATCTCTGGTTACTGTGAGCAAACGGACATACATTCCCCACAAATCACTGTGGAATAGTCTGTCCTATTTTCCGCTTGGCTTCGTTTAGATCCTCAGATTGACTCAAAACGTAAAACAGTAAGATTACACTCCTGGCTTCTAATAATTTGCCATTGTTCCGCAATTATCAAAACGATCATGAATTGCCCGTGTAGGAATTTGTCAATGAGGTCCTGGAGACAATTGAGCTTGATGGAGTAAAAGATTCTTTGGTGGGCATACCTGGTATTAGTGGTCTATCCACAGAGCAACGAAAACGACTTACCATCGCTGTAGAGCTTGTTGCAAATCCTTCCATAATCTTTATGGATGAGCCTACAACAGGACTTGATGCTAGAGCCGCTGCAATTGTCATGCGAGTAGTGAAGAATGTAGTTGATACAGGAAGAACAATAGTTTGCACCATCCACCAACCCAGCATTAATATATTTGAGGCTTTTGATGAGGTAAAGTGGGTTAATACATGCGTACATAAATAACAGGAAATAATAACGTCGATCAGTTGGCTTTCTTCCAGCATGCTAAAACGTTTAGATGAATAGGATGCATATGGATCACAAGAGAAGATAATGGTAAGGATTGAATCACTATGAGCAGAATCTTATTATTTTTTCCCATTAGATAACGGCAACTATTGAATCACTAAGAGCAGAATCATATTTTAATTTATTCCGACTAGATAAAATGTTAAGACAAGCCTCATATTATCTGGTAATTTCTTGTGCAAAACTTCTGAGTAATTCTGATTAGATTTTCGAAGGCCTAATCTCTCTCTCTCTCTCTCTCTCTCTCTCTCTCTCTGAGCAGTTGCTTTTATTAAAAACTGGTGGACAGCCGATTTACTCAGGACCTTGGGACATAACTCAAGAAAAATTATAGACTACTTTGAGGTCAGTTTGATGCACAAACATGAAGATTTGAGAATTTCTTCCATTCCTTGTAATTTTACTACCCGAATCTCATTAAAGATACTGATAATAATTAATATCTATAAAACCCAACTTCTGTTGGACACAGTATTCCAGGGGTGCCAAAGATTAAAAGCAACTACAATCCGGCTACGTGGATGCTAGAGGTGACTTCTACCTCAGCTGAAGCTGAACTCGGCATTGATTTTGCTCTACTATACAGGGACTCGAGAATACATGAGTGAGTTCATCCTCTGCTACTCAATAAAAGTGTGTGCTGGATGATTGTCTGAGATGGTCCATTATATTACAATACATTGAAGTTATCCTGCCATTTTCTATCATAATCAAGACACGGCAATGGTTTC